CCAGACCAGCAGATGCCGTCGCTGGCTAAAAGACGACGGGGAAAAAAAAAGAGCTCAGGCAAAGACAAATGCAGGAAGCCAGACCCAGGCAGGATTCTTTTTTGGGGGCTGCAAATGGGCCGGGAGGGAGAGAGTGAGGGGGTGTTGAAAGCAAAAAACGAGCGAGTGAGCCGATTGCGCAATTCGAGCATGGGAATCAAAGGAAACCCTAGCCGAAGAGTCTTGCACTAGTTGCCGTGTGTACCAGTTGCCAGTACGTATTATCAGTATCTATGTACTGGTATTATCTGATGGTCACCCGTCCTCGGTCTTTACAGGGGTTCATAATTAATAACAAGATTAATAACAAGATTTATAAAAAAAAAAAGGAAAACAAAAAGAAAAAAAAAGGCCGACGCCAATGGCTAGCTAGCGAGAATGACCTGGCACATGCACACTACGACGCCTCAAGCTGCAAAAGAACCTAAAATCAGCGGCAATTAGCTCGTATAGCACTTTCGATGATGCAAAAATGGAAGGAAGGGAAGACTAAAAGGTGTATCACAGAAAATGCAAGTAATGGCTCGCGTCAATGGGCCCTCCTTTGTGCTACGCGGGAACTTATTCACAATGAGCACAATGAGTACAATAAGTACAATGAGCAACTGGTAGAAAGATAACTTGTGGGCATATCCGCAGCGGGAAGAGAAAAGCGGAGAGGGGGAGGAGGCCACGAGGAGGGGTAAACTCAAATTGTGTTAATAAGCAGAAACAGTGAACGAAATGGTTTGATTCTTGACTGCCACCTGCCCGACCCTTTCTTTGTGTGCGTGATGGTTAGGTCCCCGATTGGACTCGGTGGGGAGGATGATGGGTGTGGATAAATCTTTCTCTCGGCCTTGTCTTTTGCTCGGTCCAAACTTCTTCTTTAAATTATGGCGTTTCCAAACCGGTATTCACTGATGAAGAAGAATAAAAAAAAGCGGCTGGTAACTCCCATGTCAACCAAAAAAAAAAGAATTAAATTGAATCAAACAAAAATGTTGACAGAATATGCATTTGTATCATGCCATTGGCCCCAACATGATCCATGTCAGTGTGACAAGACGGTTGAGCTGCAGGCTGCAGCATGGTGCTGTGGGTCTCTTTTTTTTTTTTCTTGTTAACTATCATCATCATCCTTCCCGGAGCCTTTTTCTTTTTCCTTGATATGATTCGCTCTCACCACCCCCCCTGGCCGCGCGGGGCGGGACCAACCGAATTGCGCTTGCCAAAGCAGGCAGGGGCTTCTTGCCTTGGCGTCGTCGACCAGAGGCCTGCTGACGATCTAGATTGGCTATCGCTCGCATGGTGCTAGTCTAGGGGGGGGTAAACGGGGGGGAGCAAGGCTAGCGTATCTTGTCCTTGGATGGCGCTGGGTTGGTTGACCAATGGCTCTACGAGAAACAGGGGTCTGCACACCCTCACATATCTCTCTCTCTCTTTTTTTTTTACTGCATTCATCGGTTACTGTGTCTGCCGGCAGTAGCGGGGTAAAAGGTTTTTAGGTGCGTGAGTGTAGCGTTGAAGAGGCTTGTCAACGTCTGAATAGCAGTAGGTAGGTACTGCCCATCTAACCTCCTCAACAGCGCTCTCTCATTCATTCATTCATTCATTCAGTTAGTCAGCACACAAACCACTGGCGGACAAAACTCAAGTAAATGCAACTAGTCTGATTTGTTCGTTGGCTGTGGCATGGTGCTTTTTCATATTGCTTGCACCTCTATTCCCAATTCGTTCATAGCTTACACCCTGCTCCATCTTTGCTCATCGCTTCATCTCCGTCGCCCATGCCCTTTCAGGCAAATATCTTCTTGTACGAGGACCACACTTTTCCATGTTACACTTGCCTCAAGAATACATCAGTCATCACAACTCATCACACTGAGTGGCTTGTACCTTTTTACCGGATTGCGCGCCGACACCGCAGGCCTCCATCACATATCCCCAACATCAGCTCACCATATCATCTCATCGCAATAGTCAATTATCCATGTCCATGAGTCCTGTGCATCCCGAGTAAAAAGAGCTTGACCAACTTTGAAACCTACTAGGCATTTCATCACCCGTCCTTATTCCTTCCAACTCTTATGCACAGACCCCCAATCTACCGGTTGTCCACTATTTCCCTCTCCATCTCTCCAAATGGACCCCTGCCCATCCTCATCCTCCTCATCCCCGCAGTATGTACAAGTGTTTGGCTTGTCGAAAGTATCTATTTTGGGCTAATTTTATCACACTTGCACTTCACTACTGGTCATGTCCCCCCTCTCTACTCCCGCGCGCAATCCCGTGCGCTTGGACAAACACCATA